AGAAGAAGTGACTACTAACGTCATGGATGCCAATGATCCGTTGTTAATGAGAAGCACCGAGGCGGGGAACCGCCCGGTGGAAGAATCTGGTTCGCCGCCGGCGTGGGCTTGGGAGCTCCGTGGGCAAATCGAGCACTTGGCGGGCATGTTCAACGAGTTGAGCTCGAAGTTAAACTCCTCACCTTCGATAGGGCGGTCAACGACCGACGTTCAAGGTGAGGATACGGTCGACACCGCTGTCAGCGACAATCCCAGTGTCGAGGAGCACCGAACCTCCTTACTAGACTTCGTCGGGGTGCAAGGGGTGCCGACGAGGGGAGGTCAATGTCGTCGAGGGGTTGACATAACGAAGGTGTCCAAGAGGGCACGGAATACCAGAGCTGTCACTGGAGGGCCCTTCATCGGGGTTGCCGATGCCAGAGGCTTCATCTGTTTCAAGAGGCAGGTGAAGAGTTTGCCTGAGATCCAATTGAGTGGTCGGTATGGACCTTCAGAAGAAGATGAATGGGCATTCGAGTATTTCTACGTGAACCACAACGTCAGCGAACCCCTGAGACAGTTAATTAATGATACTTGTGCGAGGAATAAGGACCTTACGTTCAAGGCGAGAGTGCTGACAATGTGGAGTGTCCTCGAGAGCTACTCGGACGGCACTGACGAGATGTCATTGGTGAAGCGATGGGAAGCCTTGGGTTGCGGCTCTGAAGGAGCGAAGGGGTTGGAGACCTTCGTGTCCAAATTGGAAGGCCTTCGAGATCAGCTGTCCGAAGTTCGGGGAGCTCCTGTCTCGGATCTGGAGGCGAGAGCTCGACTGTATATGGGACTACCCCGGGACGGGCAACTACATGTAGATCGCTTGCCGAGATTGTCAGTGGCGACATACAGAGACATGCTCCGAGAGTGCAAGTCCTGGGCTCAGCTTACCTTGAGATATGGGGTAGAGAGTCTTGGGATGAGATCGACGGCACCACTGAAGTTACCTACCAAAGATCACACGGGCCCTAAGAGGGGCCCAGCTGGAGCTCATTTGGCCGAGTTGCACAACACGGAGATCGACAGTAGGGCAAGAGCCCAGGTGTATGTTAGCGGCCTACCCTTCCATTGGACCTTTCGAGAGACGAAGGGTTTGATCGGTGAGCTCTCTAATGGCGACTTGTCGGTGTATGTTACCATGTTGCCCAGGAAGGGCACTGCCATCGTAAAGCTCAAGACCGATGTCGAAGCTGAGAGAGTGATACAATTATTGAACGGCAGGCAGATTGGTGGGCGGGTTGTGTTGGCTAAGCACGATAAGTTCGCGCAGAAGACGGTTGATAGCAATCCACAGGTCAATCTGAGTGAGGCACAGCAAAGAGTGTGCCAGTTAGACGACTCCTCATCGGAGGAGAGTAGTAGCTCGGCGGAATGTCATATCCTTGCAGTCGAGACCGGCGTTCTTGATGATAGCCATTGGGCGAATACCTCTTTGGAGGAGAGACTATCGAGTCAACAGTGTCAAGAGCGAATCGTACCGGATATTGTGGCGTTATGCCAGACCAGCAAGGGTGTCGAGTCCGTTGAGGCTAAGAGCTTCGAGAGCAACATTGAGAACTTCGAGAGTAAGAGCTTCGAGAGCAACATTGAGAACTTCGAGAGTAAGAGCTTCGAGAGCAACATTGAGAACTTCGAGAGTAAGAGCTTTGAGAGCAATATTGAGAACATCGAGAGTAAGAGCTTCGAGAGCAACATCGAGAACATCGAGAGTAAGAGCTTTGAGAGCAACATCGAGAACGTCGAGAGTGAGAGCGCTGAGAGCAACATCGAGAACGTCGAGGAAGCCTACGGCGATATTGAGGTTGAGAACATCGAGAGCTGCAGGTATAGGCTTCGAGAGGGCCCGAAGGTCAGGGAACCTACGTCGAAGCGATTAGCTGTCACATACACGGCTAATGGGTTGCCGACCGTGGCAGTAAGTCTTCAGGGCAGGGTCACTACGGTCGCGCTCCTTGATACAGGAGCGACAGACGTGTTCGTGTCCAGTACTTTATACCGTCGGTTGAAGGCAGAGTCGCCAGGCCTGGAGCTAAAGCAGGGTGACATATCAGTGAAATTGCTCGATGGAGGAGCAGTGAAGATCCAAGGTGTGCTGGAAGCTTTAGCCGTTGGGTTTGGTGATCAGACTAGGACAGTCGAGGCCTACGTCTTAGACTCTGCTCACTGGGAGTTGGTTCTACCACGATGGGTACTGGGTAACTGTGTTTGGGTGATGGCTGGTAACGACTACCTACTCTTCGATGAGGTTGAGGTCAACCCTCACGGGGGAGTGCAGGAGGCGAGGGAGATAGGCGCTAATGCAGTCGAGAGAGACCGATCTCTCCCGACACGAAGAGTGTGGCCAGCTGTCGTGAAGGTCCCTTGGATTGATGATCGTAGACCTAAGCAGAATTATGATGCCATCAGAGGCCGAGATTTGAAGATCACACAGAGGCTGGCCAAGAGACCTGAAGAGTTAGCAGCGTATGAAGCGGCCGTGGACGAGCTCTTGAAGTCCGGGGCGGTCGAGGAACTCCCACTGGGGGAGGACCCGAGGAAATGGGCTTACCACTATATGTGTGGGGTTCCGGTTTTCGCCAATCAGCGAAAGTCCACTCGCTGTCGTATTTGTATCGACGCTCGAGAGCTTAACAACTTCACGAATAAAGAAGGAGACGAGGAGGCCGCGGACATGGACCTACAGTCACGGATTCTAGAGTGGCGAGCGTCCAAGCGAGTTGATTGTGAGGATCTCAAGAAGGCCTTCTGGTCGGTCCACATCGATAAATCGGATGTGAAGTGGTTGGGGATGTGCGTCGGGTCGAGGATCATAAGGTGGATCCATGTCCCTTTCGGGACGAATTGGTCCCCTTGGGCCCTGTCTTCGGTCTTGGGAAAGATTCTCAAACAGATCGGGGGGACGGGCGGTGCCGAAGCTATCTCCTTCTATGTCGACGATGTACTTCTGCGAGGGGACAGTTGCTCGGAGGTGTCGAAGATTCGTCGGGAGGTGGTTCCCGCATTAGAAGAGCGGGGGTTCGAAGTCCACCAGGACAAGCGAATGTCCAATCTCGACACGGATGAAGACTGTATAGGTCGAGGGGTATCTAAGGAGAAGATTCTCAGTGAGAAGTTCAGAACAGGAGGTTGGCTCGGTTACGACTGGCTCTGTGGCGAGCGAATTGATGTTATCGATGTGCGGCTGCGACAGATAGAATTGGCGAAGGAATCCAAGGTCACGGAGTCTGCCCTGAGATCAGCATTTGGCAAGTTCTTCGACCCCATGGGTCTTTTCGCGGAAGTGTCCTTGGAGCTCAGATGGGCGGCTCGGCTGGCTCATGAGAGACTGAAGCAGAGGAGGAAGGACTTCGAAGATGGTACGGACATTGTGGACGAGGAGACGGCATCTATTATATTGAGTACCATTACTGCATGTAACTCATTCCTGCAATCTGATCGTATTCTTCCCCCTCGCTATCTTGATGTGTCTACTTTATTCGTCTTCGTCGATGCCTCTGAGGCCTGCATTGCTATTGATATTCGAGTCGGTTCGGGTGC